TTCATTGCCTTTAATATCGAATTACTTATTAAATAATAACTGATTTATTATAATCTTTTGTTAAAATATTTTTTCAATAAATATTCAAATTGTTTTTCTTTTTATATCTAATATATAATATACTTTATATAGTATTTCTATAAATATTATGCAAATAAAACCCAATATAATGACTTGAAAGCAATTTTCATACAACAAAAAAACTCCTCAAACATTAAATTTTAATGCATTTGCTATTAAATTAATTTAGAATTTTTATTATTATAACAAAACAAAATTTTTCACACAATTCTGACAATTCTTTATAAAAGGGATAATTTAAATGAAATTAAAAAATATTACTTCAAAAGAGTGAATAATAAAAACTATATTATTATAACTAATTATTTAATAAAATAAAATTTCCAAATTTAAATGGTATTTAAAAAGTGGTAAAATTATGCAAATAATTAACTTATTAAACAAATAATATTATTTAAATGGATTTGCATTTCCTAGAAATAGAAAGTAGGGTTTAGGTGTCAAATCAATTGCTGTTGTTTTGATATGTCATCAGATCTTATATACATAATGATAGCAAAAATGCAATGCAATCGTAGGGGAGGACAAGGTATCGGCAGTGGATATGTTATTGCCTCAAAAGTTATGTAATATTTTGTGTATACATAACACATGGGATGGCATATTCGCATCCCAAGGATAGGCCGCCGGCGCTCATAACAGTCATACTAAACATCCGAGAAAAAGAAATAATATTCAAAACTATAGTTTAAATTCTCATTTTGTTTTCTTCTTGGTTTGGCTCACATATAAAAAGCTATGTATTACTGATTGAATTCGTTTAAAATTTATATTTGATTTTACCTTTCGATTGAAGCGAAATATGTATTTTGTTTCTCCGTATCTCTGTATACGACTCCCAGACCTGTAAGCGTTGGTACGTTTGACTGATCCATCACTTGATGACTTGAGTGTCTGGTCATGTCTATAATCATTATAATGATTGCCTCAATACTGGAATCCGTATTAAATTATTATATATTCCTCAGTATTAGAAGTTGAATATCTATTCTCCAAAAACATGTATTAAAACAAATTTATATGTATTTTATTTCGCATTTCAATATTCAATCCAAATTAGAGGCCAATGCACTGAATGAAGACATAGTCTGTAGTTATAGTAATTCGTAATACAATTCCCATTCATTTCATTGATTTCCTCAATAAATGCATAGCGAAGTCATTAACAGTTAGTGAAAAAATAGATATAAATGGCAAATGACTTAATGAGTTAATCACTGCATTAATACGATTTACGCTGAACTCAATCGACACTAAAAATATATTAATGACAATAAATAGTATGACATATATTTTGCATTATTATTATCGTTGGTGTCACACATTGTGGACCAAAATATTGAAACAACAAGAATGGCAAACAATTATCAAACAATATCCAAATTACACGAATAACCGACACATTGAAAATGATGAGCAAAATATACTGAAACTTTTTGACCAAAAATAACACATTTTCACGTCTTGTAATCCGTGGAGAAAAGCGGAGGAAAAATTGTTATCCGTGTTATGCTATGGAAAGACAATTCACTAGTGATAGTGAGTGAAGACATTAGTGTGGATGAGTTGGTGGACGCGATGCCATAAGCGAGCGGTTAAATAGTGAGCTCCTAAATGAGTTGGTCTCTCGTTTTTATAGATGTTTGATTGTGTGACAAACTTTCGTGTCAATCGCAAGCCTTTTTTAGCCGCACAGACACGTAAACTGTGCTCGTCGTTGATATATGCATGCAGTGCAGTGCTTACCGGGTGTTGTGCATCCACTATAGCCACCAGAGCCACAGCCACCAGTCAATTGTCTATTGTGTGTCTCATATTTTCCGTGTCTCTGTTGTGTGCATTGAAAACAACTACTTGTGTCGCATGTGTTGTGTCGGTCGCCTCGAGTCGTGTCGCAGGACATCATTACTCCACGCAATACACGCCACACATGCAATGGCTTTCACTCTCTCCCTAACCACTCTCTCGCTCTCCCTTTCCCTCACACTCTCCGCTACCGCCGTCTCCGCGACACAGACTACCAGTCCTTCGCCAACACTCCACACATACGGTGTCTTTGAAATACGAGACCATAAATATGAATGAATGGTTACAAACACACACATCCATAGATACCTGAGCGTTAAGCGCCGGTACTTTCACTTAGCGTTTTCTTCACTCTCTGGCCGTGCGAATAGTGGCACACATTTGTTATGTTAAGCTATTTTTCTTGCGTTAATTTGCTTATCAAGCGATTGAATCAATTCATGGCAATCGTCCGTACGGTTTGCATGCGTTCAATATTTAGCTGTAAACCATGTGATGATGTGATACACCGTTTAAAATATGTGTTTCGTATAATGAATATATAGTTATTATTCTGTGTTATAATATATTCTCTCCTTTCGGTGTAAAGACTAAACGAAGTCAAACATGCGATCGCTTCGTATAACATAACATACAATATAATGCACACAAAAAACCCAAATTTCACTTTACTTCGGGTCGACTTCAGCGCCAGAATAGACCCATCTATTCATCACTACGTCTACTGGTTTTGTTTTATGAAAGCATATTATAATGCAATCAATGTTATAGTCTTATCGACATGAGAGATCTTTTGGCTAAATTACTGTTAATAAATGCCATTTACAGCGCGATTCTCGGCTGACAATTACTATATATTTTCACTCATGTATACCAAAACCCTATACTCCTAATTACGGGCGAAAAAGGAAAGGTAATAATTGTGAACAAAATTAAATCAAATATCAGTTGATTTATTCATTTTGAAAAACATTTTCTCTATTCTCTCAGTAATTCATTAATCATTAATTAGTGGTTGTTTTTAGCATAAGAATAGTAATCATAAGTTTAAGCAAAATATAGAAATTAGTTTTTCAATCAAACGATAATTATTATTGAGTTATTTCTCTGGGATTTTATTCTCTCTGTATTTTACTTTCAGTTAATCTCTTTTCTCCTTTAATTTTTTCATTTCTAATTTGATTGAGAATTATATTTAGCCTAAACTCCAAATCACATGTTATATAATCAGCTAAATAAACGGTGCCTTTCATTAACATTAGGTTATATGCAAATCATTAATTTGTATAAAAATATATGATATGAAAAGCATTTTTGAATTTGAATATAATTGAGTTGAAAGATAATAATTTATGTGCTTTTAATTATTAATTAAAGCATTGCTATCATTAAAGTGAACCTCAAATCTTATTATTATTTATTTTGTCATTTAGTTCTTTTAGTATTTTTGGTGCAAACCTTTTATATATACATTTGATTGCATATTATCAGCGAAAATGACTGCCAAATCAGATCTCACGAGTAATTTGTTTTCTAATCCCTTATAAATATGTGGAAATTAGTAGCCGTTTGTCTTTACCCTGTGTTTCGGGGGATAGTATGGGTACGAAGTAATGGCCACAACACTTAATATTCATTTGGTCGATGCCCTCAAGCGTTGACAGTGAATGAGTAGTTTTTTCATATACCTGTCCAACAGATTCCCCACTCCTTAGGACATAAACAACACAATGTATTAAAAATGCATTTTTTTATTCTCCAAGTGTTTTAAGGAAAAATTCTTTTTTTTTCTGAAGCCTTGTGGCACTCGTATACCTGGGCTCTGGTGCTAAAAGTTGTCTCTCAAATACACACATATATACCAAATATATATATTGTGATGATGTAGTGTATGTGGAGTAAAACCTCCCTGTGCTGAATAGGGTCATTAGCGGAGGCCACCTCTCAGTGCCGAGAAATCATTAATTTTTGTGTGTGAGTCTCGTTTCGACAGCTTTCAGTCTTTTCACTCTAATATTGAATTTTTTGCTGGCAATCGAAAAAATGTTATACTTATATAACATTTATGATATAAGTTATGAATTTAATGTTCATTTAGGACCTAAAACTGGATCTATATGTAGAGCACTAATAGCACAGTTCTCTCTCTCTCTCTCTCTCTCTCTCTCTCTCTCTCTCATCCCATAGTGCATACCTTTCAGCTGATTAGGCATTTTTAGTGCACTAATTCACATAAAGCCATAATAATAGCAACAATAATGGTTTGGATGTTAATTACATTACCAGTAGTTGTGATATACTATTACTGAAAGCGATGCAACATATATAAGGAGAATGACAGTCGACAAAAATTATTGCTTTAATTTTGTCACAAAAACCCTTTTCTTAATTAGAGAGACACGAAATATAATTAACCTCTCACTGGGAGAGAGAGAGAGAGAGAGTCCAGTGCGTGCACTCACTCTCTCCTTTTCTCTCTCACAACTGGCAGTACTTTATGAACGAGAAGTCTATGTAATAAACATAAATAAAACAGAGTATCGACTGTTATATTCAATGCTATTTTACTGTCCATTGGCTGTCATATGCCATACGAATAAAAGCCCAGAATATATTCCGCTCATAATATGAAGAATAACATCATATATAATAAAAACGTTGCATTACTTTACCAATGATTTCCAATGGGTTTTTGCTAATAAAATATGAACATTTTGTTTGTAGTTTATGTGTGCGATACAGGTATTAAAGCCATACCAATGTTATGCTGTCGTATAGTGTAGTTCACTGTATAAGCCATCTGTTCTGATAGAAAGAACTATTCAAACGATTAGAGGCCGTCTTTTTTTGGTCACAAATATCTATCTCTAGTTTTTATGTATTAATAAAATAAAAGTTATACGAAATATAAAAATTGCAATATTTTGATGTATAATATATTTTCCGTACAAATAATTTATCGCTTCATTTCATTTTCTTTCCTCTGTTTTGAGTGATTCTGAAGTGAAAAAGTATATAACGAATGAAATACAAGAATAATGGCTGTGTGTATATGTGTGGCCCAATTGGGACAATACTACACATGATATGTGCTGAAAAAAAGTTGGGAACAGATGCAGAGGCACAAGAAGTTAGTGGTAAATACTTTTTTCGTTGAACACAATCAATGCATTATTAGTCAACCGGCGGACGATTTGGACAATTGGACGGATTATATGCTCAAAATCATTGTCTTTGTAATTATTGATCGATGAAAAAAAAACAATATTCACTCGCATTGCAAGCCATCAGTGGCTGAGTCTAACTCTTCTCTCTGCGATCGTAACCGTATATATAGATCCCATTTGTGGAGCAATTTTTTCTGATTGAATTGAATTTCGTGTCCACAAACTGTCTCCGGTTGTCTCGCTGTCCATGTATTGCATCGCGTGATCAACTGTTCGCTCTTAGACTCAATATATAAGGACATATCATTGCCTCCAATATATACACAACCGGTGCTATCAGTTTCCATCTTCAGTACTGTATATACCATTCATTGCATTTCATTTACTGAACACATATAGCGTGCGGACATATATATCGTCGTTTGTCTCAAGTCCTCTCTCTCTCTCTCTTTCTCTCTCTCTCTCCCCTCCCCTATAGTCCTATTGTCATCCCCTATATTGCCAATGCCTGAGCCTCACTGTCCTCACAGTCTTCATAACGTATATCTCAATCAAAAGATATATATTATATTATTTTCTTCATTCCCATCGCTTTCGTGAATCATTTATGATAAAAGTTTTGCCCAATAATGCAATCCATTGTCAATGCGTTCAATATTGCCATTCGTTTAGTGTTTGTCCAAAAGTCGGCCAACAAATCAAATTATTGTGCATTTCATATATGAATCTATAGTTTTGATCAATTTATTGTACATTTATTGATGACATACACGGTTTGATGGATATATAAATTAATAATAAATATATCATTTAATCAAAGAAACGATAACTTTATTAAAGTAATAACGAAAACAATAATCATAATGTAATGGACAAAAATATTTTAATTTGTTAATATTGTTTGAAATAAAAATCTATAAATATTTATTTCGATTGTCAACAAAATTAATTTGATAGCAAATGTACTTTTGGTTACATAAAGCATATTTTAAGGCATACAAAAGGCGACTTAAATTTCTGTCCAATAGACTTATCTATTGATATATAGAAAATTTGCAAATCCTATTGCGAGAGAGAGAGAGAGAGAGAGAGAGAGAGAGAGGTCTGAAAATACAATACGATAATTGTATGGTCTGTCGGACACCCATTTATTTACACAAAAATTTTAATTAAATTTTATTATGCACATCACAAAAACATATTGCATTCAAACATATAAATATATACACATATCAATTATAATCATAATTGATTGTGCAAAATGTTAACTATAAACTAACCATCACTAATATTTGTATCTCTTTCGCTATAGTATTCGTGTTCAGCCAAAAGAGGGTCAAACAAAATCCAATCCATCGAAGAGACATAGAGAGCGCCTGAACTCAGAGCTCGATATGTTGGCCAGTCTTCTACCCTTCGAACAGAGCGTTCTCTCCAAACTCGATAAGCTATCGATTCTCCGCTTAAGTGTTTCTTATTTAAGGACTAAGAGCTACTTTCAAGGTATGTGTCCATACATCCCATACAACACCACCACCTCTACCCCCACCCCTCCTCCCGGCCAATCCCTCCTCCCCTGTGCGCTATTACACTCTCGCCAATCACTAACATTCAGTCATATACAGTATATTAAGCTAAATATCTTTTTTTATAAGAGGTTTTAAAATTTCAATTTCTTGTCTCACATGTTATTAATGTAAAGAATTTCTATTTCGCGCAAAACAACTCACGAATTGAAGCCTTCACTGGAAGTGATGAATTGAATTCTGATATTATTAATAGCTTTCGTATCATTTATATATAAGTCATGAAATAAAAGTGTGTTTCTAATGCTATGCGTCCGAGAAAAACCAAATTAAGGCTTAAAATTGTTTTGAAAGAGAATTTCGGTCGATTGGCCTCTGCTTTGTGGACACATTTTTTGTTCAAATATCGAAATAAAATAAAAAATTTTACTTTCTTTTGAATCCATTTGCTATTCATGTCCAGAGAAGAAGGTTATTAACTCACTTCTTAGAGAGAGAGAGAGAGAGAGAGAGGGAGTGTTGTGGTCATCATTATTACATTGATGTTATGCTCGCATATAATAATTCATATGGAAGTCAAATGTTGTCTGTTATTTGAAAATCTATTTAATAACATATTAC